CGAACCCGTGACCTCCGCGAATACCGGTGCGATGCTCTACCAACTGAGCTATGAAGCCACACATTGGGAGCGAGGTCAATTAATTGAGTTCATATCTTCGTTTTGTTCACTTACTGAGGTGAAAAATAAACAATGTTGTGTTCAATTACAGCAATAATTTGAAACAAATTGATTTTAACACCTGTTATACTAGAAGTATCCCAAATAAATATTACAAAATTCAATCGACACAACTCAATTCACTCGTTGGCACTTACCGATAGGTACAACTAGTATATTTGTAACAAATATCAAACATCTCAAGTCTCGAATAAATTTACCGTTCAGGGAATGCGGTTTAAGAAAACCATAACGGCAACGGTAATAGAAACAGCAACGTCGTTAAGGTTTAAAGAGCTTACACTGTGAAGATTTAATATGCAGTGCAGTGGCCGGGCGTGGAGATGTGTTATAATTATTTTTATTCTGATTACTTCTTCTATTTGCGTTAGGTGGGAAGTGAAATCACAAATATAGCGTTTTACACAATGTCGAAATACGAATTTCAGACGCGCCTTCTAGAAAGAAGGGGTTACAAGGCAGACACATGAAAAACCAAACAAAACAAAACACGACAACGATAGAATGCTATATGATAGTATAATATACTCTCATTAGTGGGTAGAGTGCGAGCGATAGTTTGCTTGCCAAAACCCTCAGCTGTAAACAAATAAGGAAGACACTGAAAAGAAATATCACTGTTGTTAGATCCTGGTGAGCCCGAAGATGAAGTACATGAGACTTACGACTTAATGGACTGAAAAGCTCAGAAGCAATTCTAAAGTATCGTACAAAGTTTACAGTCTCGCTCTTTCCTTTCTTATCGGTGCAAATATCCTTAAGTGCTTTGCCCATTGTTACTCGTGTACTACAAAAAAACAAAAAACAAAAAACAAAAACAAAAACAAAAACAAAAAACAAAAACAAAACCAAAAACAAAAAACAAAAACAAAAAACAAAACAAAACAAAACAAAACAAAACAAAACAAAACAAAAAACAAAACAAAAACAAGAAAAAAAAAAAATCAACAAATCACTTACTTTTTCCACAATAGTCCTCCATGAGGTATTTCTCGTCGACGTCCAAGTGATACCGCTGAAGGCGACACCGTACGCGGCCTGGGCCCTCAGTTGGGTCCAGTCTCCAAGACGATGGGAAATGCTCAGCATCGTACCACACAGATCTAAGGAAAAATCAAATCTATCCTGAGTCGTCGTCCGCTGCTCGCAATCCGATTGAACCGGTCTTCACCATACTTGTTTCCGTGTGGTTCATTAATACCTCCAGAACGATTCTCTTTTTTCATACTTTAGTAAAAGACGATAAAGTTTAACGCGATATTGCTCGTGGGTTCCTGTAACTTACACCTTCAATTAAAGATCATTATTATATGGCTAGCTCCGTGAGCGGGAGAGATGAATCAAATCCTGCGCTGTGATTGGCTACCCGAGCGGCCAAGATGGAGCTATCTTGCCCGCTCGGGACTACCCGCCGCGTCCCGCAAGAAAAATTTCCCCCAAAGCCAGATAATAAGTCTTTTATTGACCAAGCTTTTTTGGTCAAGATGCCTGGATATTGTCCTCGTTCTGTTTTTGCGAGTTTATGGACCTCGACTCCGTCTCGGTCCATAAACACGCAAAAAAAGAACTTAGCCAATATCCAGCCATCTTGACCTCACACTTGGTCAATAACCCATATATATTTCTATTTTACGTTTACATCAATTTGAAGGGCATCTTCTAAGTTTAGTCGTTATAGTTTCTGACCCATGTTATTTCAAGGGCCAGGGTAGAAACAAACGTTTTGCTGTTGCTGTTGTTGTTGCCGGCAAAACTGGAAAAGCCACTGCCAAAGTCGTGGCGCATAAAAGCTAAACATGGTTTCTGTCACCAGGTAGAAATCAGGTTTGTCTTTCGCAATCTGTTGTAACGCTGTTTAATTTAAGCCATAAATACTTTCCATTTTTGGCCAGTATCTGCTTTGTGTTTGTACGTTTCAGGTCAGTATTTATAATTCTAATTAGTTTGTGTATGAAATATGACCTAGCTTAGCCTGTTCTCGGTAGTTGGGGACGAGCGAAAAAAGAGGAGGTTAGCGAGAAAAACAACAACAACAACGACAACAAATACAAAACAAAAACGCGGGGGACTGAGGAAAGGACTGCTAATTAGTTCCTCTCGCTCGCCCACTTTTTTCCCCGCCTATCGAGAGCCTGGAACAAGCTAGACGAGGACCGTTCTAAGACACTTTCTTCCAACGGGTATAGTTCACCATGCTCCTACGATCTCTCATTACCGTTCTTGTCAACAATTACGTTATAGTGCATGTCATACACTACCTCTCATGAATGAGCCGCTCGATAAGTTGGCGCCACTTTTTCCGGATCTGCACCTCGGCAGAAAGCGCGTCTCTGGTGTGCTTCAGAAGGGCCTGTCGCTTGGTGTCTTGAATCTCTACCACTACTCTCGTCACATCTCTAGCTACAGAAGAAATAGCTTCACTGAGGTCCTCCGTTCTCTTATCCAGCCTGTAACAAAAAAAGTTCTCCTTAAAAAAAAAAAAAACTGTCACCCAAAAGTACTGCAATCTTGATTGGACTTGCCCAGTCTTTAACGCCTTGCTGCTGAATACATGTTTCCCATCGCTTACATTGCATCACTACAGATTTTCTGGGCTTCTAAATATCGCTAGTTGCCTGCTGCCCTCGGTTTTTTATTGGTGAGGTACACGTTTGCCTGCACTTTTCAACTGCTGCAAGTTATTTGAATACCAAATTTTCGCCAAAAAAATACAGTTTTTAACCATTTATGTTAGATTTTTTGGCTGCCATGACGCTAAATAGGCCTAAGTTTTGCTTTTTTTTTACCAAAAGGGGAGATTTTTCGAGGATAACGTACAAAATTGAGCAATATTTCAATTCCGGGCATGCGCATAGGCCAAAATTTGGACTAATGGCTACCTTTTGCGTTGCATGTTCTTTCTGGTTGCCGTGAAAAGGTAAAGTCTGTATGCGAGCTAAGTGGCCCATCAGGCCGGAGCTTATCCCGGTTTCTGTAGCATGAAGCGACTAGGAGTATTTCTACTCCCCCCTGGATGGGATGCTAGTCCATCGCAGGGGTACCCCCAGCATTAAGTTCGCCAGTACCCATTTATACACCTGGNTTGCCCAAGAACTCAACAGAATGTCCCCGGCCAGGGCTTGAACCCGGACCGCTCGATCCGGAGACGAGCGCACTAACCATGAGGCCACCGCGCCTCCCGGTTGCCGTGAAAAGTTGAATGTTAATTACGGGCGAAGCCTAGAAATGGACCTTGATCAATCATAGGCATAGTTGACCATTTTACAACCGTTTTTGCACCAAAACTGATAACGTTTTTCGATTTGCGACGTCAGAATGTCGTAGATATCTAAACCTGACCATTGTACGGAAAGGCCTAGCCTAGTACTACTATCTGGTTATCAAGAATATCTGATGACATTTAAATTGATGACGTCACAAGTGGTACAAAGAGCACGACCATTAATTACGCATATATACGTAATTAGGGCTCAAAGGGTTAAAGTCCGACTGATTGATTTACCCTCGTACCAACGACAGCGTGAAATTTTAAACTTGGTATTTGCTTCACAGCCTTTATTACGTTCATGGTTGAATATGAAGATGGAGTAACACGTTACCTTCTGTAAGCATCAGATCTCTGCTTCTGCCATTGCATCATTCCGGCTTTGTCTGCCGAGTCCCACAACTGCATCTACGATTCAAAACTACTAACTTCAGCGGCATGTATGTACATTAAATCATGTCTCGTTTCTGCGTGTTTTACCCGCACACGGCATCAACGTTTCAAATTTACGACAACGGCAATATAATAGAAAAGTGACTTCTCCAGAAGTCGCTAACCCGGGGTTTTCTTCCCGTAACTGCCAAGCAAGGTGAGGATTCCACATCACGTCAATTGGATTCATTACAGAATCATGCCTAAGTGTCGCCCGGGAAAAGCTGGGTGCCCATAATGCTATACGGGCACAAAGCCCTTGTAACGAGGTTGCAAAGGCTAGCGCCGGTTTTCGTCTCTTCGGATATAAATTGAATAATTTCCAAGTTTTAGCGATATTCTTTGATTAAAAGCAGCAGTTTTTCGTCCGACTGAAACGATTGGCAAGCTGTAGCGGGAGTAACGAGAACAGGCACTTGTGACTTTCAAATTAACGCAATAGCCGGGGCACTGACCTCCTCGTCATTAGTGATTTTGCTATCGCCGGCGTTCAAGCGCATGGACTGTAGGTTAAGAGACAACATCATGGCTTTGAACTTGTCACATGTTGCCCTCTGCTCCTGAGTGAGTCCAGGATGAGCAAGAATCTTCAACAGATACACTGCTGTACGTTCACGCAACTGAGGAAAACAAAAAATACGTATAGAAAGCACATTGGAAGAATGCTGTTATGTGGTGTTGTGTACCACTAATCTAGTGGTTTACAGGAGAACTGAACGCCCAAGCTGATTCCCCGTTAGTTTATGGGTAGGATTCAAGAAGATGATCATATTAGAACAGGGAAAGGGCATTTTCGCGGTATCCCACAAAACTCATATCATTAAACCAAGCCTATCGGCCGTCGCCTCTTTCGTCCTGGTAAGGTAGTGTAGAGTCTGTTGACGAGAATATGGCCGTTTTATTTGTCAAGGATATGCGACGAGGCAGGGTATATTTATCAGCTACAATGCCAGAGCTTCAGAGTAAATGTATTCCTGACCTGGGTATTTCCTAGGTCGTTTACAGAGAGCAGCGACAACATTTGAAACGAGTTTTCCAATTCTAGTGATCTGTACTTTTGTACAGGAGTGAGGCACGATGAGGAGACACAGTATCCTAATGGTTAGTGCTAGGGTTTCCGGATCGAGAAGTGTGAGTTCGATCGCTCTGGCAGGGGAGATGTTGCGTTACCCTTTGCGTTACTTATTACGTACTTTGTCGCGTTAATTATTACTACCTGCCTGCCTGCCTGCCTGCCTGCCTGCCTGCCTGCCTGCCTGCCTGCCTGCCTGCCTGCCTGCCTGCCTGCCTGCCTGCCTGCCTGCCTGCCTGCCTGCCTGCCTGCCTGCCTGACTGACTTACGTTGCTGCATTACCTTGTTGCGTGACTTTGCGGTGTGAATTTGTACTCTGAGGTAAATTATTACTTAGTTTTATAGCCTGTCGTGTCACTTGCTTGCATTACCTTTGGTCCACCACTGCTAGTCAGGATTGTTTCTATGATCTTTTTAGCGCGTGGATGATGGACAAGATTCAGCGCGAAACACGAGAGATCCAGGTCCCGGTTTGGATTCAACAGGAACACCAGTAACTTGCCAACCTAGACCCAGGCCAACCAATCCCAAAAAACTATAAATTACTATAAATTTGAAAAGCGTTCACTTTTTCGTTTGTGTTAAGTAGTGTACCTATCGACATCATCGTCATCTTGTTAGAACCTCAAGTAATCAGCTACGTTATAAAATCTTATTAATCATACTTTGTGAAGAACAAAAAGACAGAACAGACTGACGACTGACTTATCAGGAAACAGAAAGAGAAAAAAAGACAACCTGTGAGTATTTGTTGAAAACATTGGTTGAGGTACCATCCTAAACTGCCGCTTACCTGCGCTTTTAAAGAATCCTTGGACACGATGAAAAGTTTGTAAATTTCTCGCTTCCTTCCATCCTACGAAAAAAACAAAATCATTAACATGCGTCTCGTTTACACCGTTGTTCAGCCAAAAGTTCTCGACTGAGAAAAACTCGCACTGTCGTGAAAACGTTACCTAGCAGCCTACCTGTCAAAAACTGCTGGTCAGCCAATTCTAGAGCACAAGACTCAGCCAAATCACTGACTACATGACTTACTGTAAGCCTTCGAGTAACAGTCTATAAAAGAAAGTTGGGTTTTGTAGACATGCAAGTGTAAGAATCACTCACCAAACAAGCGTCAAGAATTTCAAGCAGTAAACTAAACGCAAACTGCGCAAACTCCTTTTCAATGGCTGCTCCAGTGACTCGTACCATTCCAGGCCGCAGTGATTCATGGACGTCCATGTCGATAAATGGAAAATGAAATGCAACAAAGTCCTCGGGAAGAAAGAACGTCTTACAATAAACGATAGAGTTGACAGCGAGCTGGCAGGTGATCTGAAAACGCCGCGTCTGCTCATTGGAATTTGCACTTGTTGGCGACTTCTTCAACTGGCTAGGGTCCAGGCACGATTTGAACTGATCCCGGTCAAGATTGACCCAGGACGAGACGGGAGTGAAGGCTGGGACGGGGTCCGTGTTATGCTCAGGACCACGGAAGGGTAATCTGCAGGTAAACAAAGTGTTTTTTTACGTTTCGTAAGTCTCGTAAAATAATTTTCAATGACTTAGCCCCTTGGTCTTTTTTTAAACTATGTGGCAAAGTCAGAAAACGGCGGTAATTTCTCTTTTCCTATAATGTCTTAGCCTGTCAACAGGCTCTCTAGTCGAGGGCGGGGCAAAGAGAAAGCGGGAGGAAAGGGGTTCCCCCCCCCCCGGCCACTTCACTCCCAGCCAGTTCCTTCTCGGCCCCTCCAGCCGCCGGTCAAACCCTCCCAGCCGCAGCCTGTTCACAGACTAATAATTTTTACAACTGAGGGGACGAATCATTGGGTACTTCGTTTCATCTTGCTTGTTGGGTGAAAAACACAAAACCGCACAGTAAATTAACACTGATTTCATCTCAAGCACAAATTAAAGCTACCTCTACTCACCTCAATCCGGATGGTTTGGTCTTTTTCCCTCCCATTGATCCTTCCCCTTTGCTAACTTCTTGGAAGAAATGCAGTGCAACTTGAACAGCAAACAGACGAAAGTAACGAGCACAGTAGGATGTGGAAGGGTCGTGATCTACGGGGAGAAAAACAACAAAATTAACAGAGAAAGGCACAAAACGAAGGAAAACATCTTGAACCGGTAAATGATGTAGGGCCTAGTACGCTGGTACTGCAAATACAGTCGTCAAAGTACGTAAATGCCAGGCTTGATTTTGACTGTATTGAAACTTTTCTGAACAAAATAGAGGACCATACAGAAATTGCGGCTATATTTAGTTCCCAAATTATTGCTTAGTTTCGCTGCCACAAATGTTAGCTCACCTCTCTTCTTGTGATCCTGTTCTTCTAAATTCTCCAAAGCAATTAACAGATCCTCAAACATTTGAAAATACAGGTTGCCGTTTGTACTGCATTGAGAAGGATATTAAACTCAGTACAAAGCAAAATGGTTGACACCTCTATAATCACTTTCTGCACACTCCGAGGTCTTTGCGGTTTCGCGGAATAAGAAAGAAAATAATAGTTTTTCAAGCTGAAGAAATCGTAATTATTAAACAATATTTTTAGAAGCATACTGCTAGTTCTCTAGCCTAATTTTCTATCCTTAAACGTTTGGCTGCCACATTGATAGAAATGACCAACGCGTGTGACATTACAATTCAAACTAAACTGAAGAAAATATTTCCATGTAATCAATCTATAATTTAATCAACCAATTTTTTATCAACCATACCACGTTACGACCATCCGTTTTGGCGCTATCAGCATAGAAACATTGCATAGTACAATTGCCAATTTCCTTTTTTTTTTTTTTTTTTTTTTTACTGTCGCTTAACAATCTTACTGGGGTAGGAAACCCGTAGGACTGTTATAAATTAGCTTTACCTGCATGCTTTCCTCACAATGCAAACTATGAATTGCTGTAAATCTCCCATTATTGCGTCAACGCTAACTACGTCGAACGAGCCATTTGCTAATCTGAAAGAAAAAAAATCCGTTTTATACATGCATGTACCAGATAACTTAACCAAGAGATGAAAACGGCTACAAAGCATTCTGAAGCCTACACTGACTAAAAAACAGTCCCAAATACAAAAGTTTTAAATATAGTTGACAAGGAGGAAATGTTTGGTATGGGTTCGCAATGTATACGAAGGTATATCATTTATGTAAGGGACATTCTGAATTAAAACTGATTACATAAAAATTTTGGTTCGCTTAGTCCTCGACGACATTACAGACACTAGCGGTAACACAAACATGAAGAATCTACCTTTGTTTGTGTTGCAGATTGCAAAGACCGTAGATCACATTACACAGTGTTTCAAGCAGCCCGTGATCAACAGCTTGAAGGCACAGGTCATCCACTTTGATAAATAACTGGCACAGGTGCTGAATCAGAAGATGAAACAACGACGGCTTCAACAAGCTGTTCTCTAACAAGGCTAACAAAGGGACCACGCCCATGGGTCGAACTGATGACGCGAGGTCTCTGTCATCTGCACTTGAGTAATCGCTGTGGATGGACCAAAGTATTGCTGATTTTCAGTGTCACATAATTCAAAATAGATCAAAATAAAAATCAAAACCGGTCAATAGATAAAGTCCAGAATCTGGGAAATGAAAGAAGGTAAATATGCAAAGACGTTCGCCAAAATTCTGGTCACAGCAATTTTTCTTAT